TGTTTCGGAAAGAGCCACCCATCTTCATCAGTTCCCTTTTTTATACCCTCCACCTTGGAAAGGATGGTATATTCATGGTAGAATGGTATCAAGGTAGGGCTATGATACCATATGATTTCAATTTTTTTATTTTCTTGGTTTAATATGTCATCTTTATTTGTTTATGTATGTGTTTTCCTTTCAATAACAAAAAAATTGTCCAGAAAATATTCAAATTCGGATGTTTTCAAAATTTTTATTTCATCGTATGCATCGACAAAATCTAGAGTTTTTATAGCGAAATAATCCTTTAGAGATATATAGAACCTGTTTTTGAAAAGAAGTGTTGATCTTTCATTCAGTTTTCGCGGTTTTCTATTATTTATTCAAAATAAATGCAACAAGTTGTTTGATTTTGTTATTGTTTTGATACTATTTCTGACATTACAAGCCAAACAGGTAGACCTCTATACTTGCAATTTTTTCAAAGTTGACCTACCTTCTCTTCATTGTACCATGGGTATATTAACTTTGTCATTCTGTTTGTAATATCCTTAAATATTCGTCGTAGACCCCATAAAGTATATATATATATTCATAATCAGCATAAAATTCTAAGCCGATTTAACGATGTCCGTCTGTCTGTCTCTCTGTCTGTTGAAATCACGATACAGCCCACATTATTTGACGTAGAGCGCCAAAATTTAGCAGAGCAATTTGTATTGTGTCTAGGATGGTATTGAAAATGAGATATATCGGTCCACGTTCTGGTATAGTCCCCATACAACGGTACCTCCCGATATTCGGTATGTTGATTATTTATGCCACATTTTTTCGCGGATTTGTCTGAAAATTGGTATTTGTAGGTCAAAACGGGTCCCTGTACGTATGACAAAACATTGCATATATAGGTCTACGTTTTGTTATAGCCCCCATATAAAGGTACCTCCCGATATTCGGCATTTTGATTATTTTTGTTACATTTTTTTTCACGGATTTTTCTAATGGGTTGCAGCTCCGATAGCGAAACATTGCATGTATGGGTCCACGATTTGGTATAGCCCCCATACGGTACCTCCCGATATTCGGTATTTTGATGGTTTTTGCCACATTTTTGCACTGATTTGTCTAAAAATTGGTATTTGTGGGTCGTAATGGGTCCTAGTTCGTGTGGCGAAACATTGTATGCATAGGTTTACGTTTTGGTATAGCCCCCATATAACGGTACCTCCCAATGTTCGGTATTTTAATGATTTTTGACACTTTTTTCACGAATTTCTCTGAAAATTGGTAGTTGTAGATTATAATGAGTCCCAGTTCGTGTGGCGAGTCATTGTAATTATAGGTCCACGTTTTGGTATCGTTCCCATATAACGGTACCTCCGATATTCGGTATTTTGATAATTTTTGCCATATATTTCCGCGAATTGGTCTAAAAATTGGTATTTGTAGATCATAATGGGTTGTAGCTCCGTTGGCGAAACATTGCATGTGTAGGTCCACGATTTGGTATAGCCCCCATACAAAGATACCTCCCAATATTCGACATTTTAAGGTTTTTGTCATATTTCTTCTAATGTTTCCTTTATCCTAAGGTGGAGGGTATTAAAAGTTTGGCCCGACCGAACTTAATGTTTTTTTACTTGTTTTTGTCTGGGATATCCTCCCCAGATATGGTCTGTTCCAGTTAATGCGCAACATACATACGTTCAAAAGTAAAGTCTTTCGAGATTGTTGAGTTCTGTCCGGAGATTAGATGACCTTTATACTTCTAGAATGGTAAAACAAAATACAATGGTATCATGGACATAATCTTTATACCATCATAATAGCCTCCGATTGGCTTCGTATAATAAAAGAAAGAAAAATATACTTATTTTTGAGAACATTTTTAAAAATTCCATATCAATGTTCCCAAGCGATGATGCATTTACCTGTATTCTTCTAATATGCTTTCTTGTTAGGCCCATGCCATAATTGCAGAAGGTAGAACAAAGCTACCCCCTGATTACAATTTGTTTCTTTTGTATATATATATATATATATATATATATATATATATATATATATATATATATATATATATATATATATTTGTCAGCATAAAATATATAATCAGCATAAAATTCTAAGTCGATTTAACGATGTCCGTCTGTCTGTCTGTCTGTTGAAATCACGATACAGCCCACATTATTTGACGTAGAGCGCCAAAATTTAGCAGAGCAATTTGTATTGTGTCTAGGATGGTTGGTATTGAAAATGAGATATATGCCACATTTTTTCGCGGATTTGTCTTGTAACGGGTCCCTGTACGTGTGACAAAAAATTGCATGTATAGATCCACGTTTTGGTATAGCCCCCATATAAAGGTACCTCCCGATATTCGGCATTTTGATTATTTTTGTCACTTTTTTTTCACGGATTTGTCTAATGGGTTGCAGCTCCGGTAGCGAAACATTGCATGTATGGGTCCACGATTTGGTATAGCCCCCATATAACGGTACCTCCCGATATTCGGTATTTTGATGGTTTTTGTCACATTTTTGCACTGATTTGTCTAAAAATTGGTATTTGTGGGTTGTAATGGGTCCCAGTTCGTGTGGCGAAACATTGTATGCATAGGTTTACGTTTTGGTATAGTCCCCATATAACGTTACCTCCCAATATTCGGTATTTTAATGATTTTTGACACTTTTTTCACGAATTTCTCTGAAAATTGGTAGTTGTAGATCATAATGGGTCCCAGTTCGTGTGGCGAGTCATTGTAATTATAGGTCCACGTTTTGGTATCGTTCCCATATAACGGTACCTCCGATATTCGGTATTTTGATAATTTTTGCCATATATTTGCGCGAATTGGTCTAAAAATTGGTATTTGTAGATCATAATGGGTTGTAGCTCCGTTCCCACGATTTGGGGAACTTAAGTTCGACCGAACCTAATGTTTTTTTACTTGTTTTTGTCTGGGATATCCTCCCCAGATATGGTCTGTTCCAGTTAATGCGCAACATACATACGTTCAAAAGTAAAGTCTTTCGAGATTGTTGAGTTCTGTCCGGAGATTAGATGACCTTTATACTTCTAGAATGGTAAAACAAAATACAATGGTATCATGGACATAATCTTTATACCATCATAATAGCCTCCGATTGGCTTCGTATAATAAAAGAAAGAAAAATATACTTATTTTTGAGAACATTTTTAAAAATTCCATATCAATGTTCCCAAGCGATGATGCATTTACCTGTATTCTTCTAATATGCTTTCTTGTTAGGCCCATTCCATAATTACAGAAGGTAGAACAAAGCTACCCCCTGATTACAATTTGTTTCTTTTGTATATATAATATAATCAGCATAAAATTCTAAGTCGATTTAACGATGTCCGTCTGTCTGTCTGTCTGTTGAAATCACGATACAGCCCACATTATTTGACGTAGAGCGCCAAAATTTAGCAGAGCAATTTGTATTGTGTCTAGGATGGTTGGTATTGAAAATGAGATATATGCCACATTTTTTCGCGGATTTGTCTTGTAACGGGTCCCTGTACGTGTGACAAAAAATTGCATGTATAGATCCACGTTTTGGTATAGCCCCCATATAAAGGTACCTCCCGATATTCGGCATTTTGATTATTTTTGTCACATTTTTTCACGGATTTGTCTAATGGGTTGCAGCTCCGGTAGCGAAACATTGCATGTATGGGTCCACGATTTGGTATAGCCCCCATATAACGGTACCTCCCGATATTCGGTATTTTGATGGTTTTTGTCACATTTTTGCACTGATTTGTCTAAAAATTGGTATTTGTGGGTTGTAATGGGTCCCAGTTCGTGTGGCGAAACATTGTATGCATAGGTTTACGTTTTGGTATAGTCCCCATATAACGTTACCTCCCAATATTCGGTATTTTAATGATTTTTGACACTTTTTTCACGAATTTCTCTGAAAATTGGTAGTTGTAGATCATAATGGGTCCCAGTTCGTGTGGCGAGTCATTGTAATTATAGGTCCACGTTTTGGTATCGTTCCCATATAACGGTACCTCCGATATTCGGTATTTTGATAATTTTTGCCATATATTTGCGCGAATTGGTCTAAAAATTGGTATTTGTAGATCATAATGGGTTGTAGCTCCGTTCCCACGATTTGGGGAACTTAAGTTCGACCGAACCTAATGTTTTTTTACTTGTTTTTGTCTGGGATATCCTCCCCAGATATGGTCTGTTCCAGTTAATGCGCAACATACCTACGTTCAAAAGTAAAGTCTTTCGAGATTGTTGAGTTCTGTCCGGAGATAAGATGACCTTTATACTTCTAGAATGGTAAAACAAAATACAATGGTATCATGAACATAATCTTTATACCATCATAATAGCCTCCGATTGGCTTCGTATAATAAAAAAAAGAAAAATATACTCACCAAGCGATGATGCATTTACCTGTATTCTTCTAATATGGTTTCTTGTTAGGCCCATGCCATAATGTTTTGAATAAAAAACACAAAAATTTAAAATTATTTCAAGTTTGGTTGCAATATATATATATATATATATATATATATATATATATATATATATATATATATATATAAGATAAAAAAAAATGGTTTTTATACAAACGAGACACAACTTCGTACAACCGGGCCACAAACAATACAATATTAAATACAACCTCTCCAATTGTATAGTGTGTAGCTTGCATAATGGGGTTTCACCACCAAACTGAATCCAAGATAATATTGATTCATCCCAAAATTATACATTTTGTCGCTTGTTGTCGTGCAAAATAGGCATTCCTCATGTCTCTAAATTTGAAATATTTTCAAATTATTTTCTTTTTTATTCAAAACAACACATGCACACATACAAACTATGTATATGCTTGGGAGATAGCTTTTTTCTACCTTCTGTATTTGTGGCATTCCACCATCATTGTCGATGCGCCTACCTGAATGATTTTACATGGTGTGTACCCAATCGAAAAATCGTACCGGACTGTGTGTATACTTTATAAATTTCTCATAACAATGTTGTAATTATTATGCGTCTTACGCTAACGTAACGCTCAACATCACGTTTTAAATTTGGGTCGTCGTACTGACAGTTGTTTAACTACACACAACTTCATAACATATTTGCTAAAAAAATTGGTGGTTGCATCACAGATTTTGGGTAAGAATTTACATATTTGAATAAAAACTTACGTACACTTGTCAGATAATCCTTGCATTTATTTTAGCAACTATGGCATTCACTAACTTTTGGAATTCATTGATTTCAATGCCATCTGTTAGGGCAGAAGAAGAGGAGGAAGCTGATTTGGTTGATCCCCAGACAACTTTGAGGGTGAGGACATAGAATTTCTGAATATTCTTTTATGAAACTGTGTTATTTTTAGGAACAATGTCAAACCAAGGGAAATATAGAAGCCCTTTACAATAAATATCAAGCTTGTAATGATCGTGTAAATAGCAGGACCAAAACAACTGAAAACTGTATGGAAGAACTATTCGATTACGTACAGGAACTCGATCACTGCGTAGCTCACAGTCTCTTCTCTAAACTGAAGTGAAACCCATAAGAAAAACTTAAAGTGTTACAATAATCTGGCAACTGATATAAATTAGCCAATATCTAAATTGCCCCAAGAGCATGTTAAACCTTATTGATTTTTTTGGCAATAAATGAATTAAGTAAAAGTGAATCAAAAATCATTTTAAATGACACATATTCATTACAAGTTTAGTGTAAACATGTATGCAAACTTGTTTCAGGCTGGGCACAAAATGTAAAAAAATTGTGACTGTGTTTTTAGATAAAAAAAATAAATATTGCAAGCGTTTCCTTGTCTCTATAAACAGATATGTTGTGAGTTTTAAATTATTTAGTTGACTTTGTTTTTGTCATCGGAATTCTTTCAGAAAAATTACTACTTTGATCGGGAAAATTCGACGCTATACTTGCAATATTATTTTAACTAGAGTTAATTTTTAAAGGCAATAGATAATATGAATGTCTCCCAAAAATACATAATTTGAGATTTTCACAATTGGCAAAAAATTTTGTTAACATGAACATCTAGGTCTTAAATGATAAGATAAGAAACCCTTCCTGTGGTTTTCATTTTGTTTACCTGTTTAGAAATATAAAAGTAAAAATATGGGCTATATAGGGCACGTTTTGGTCGTTTTTTGTCACATTTTCAACATGAATTGTTTTGTTTCCTATGACAGAAAATCGCGTGTAATGGACCATATTTTCGGCACCATATAACAATGCCTCCCAATATTAAGACGCCGCATTCCCTGGCAGATAATTGGTTTTATAGGTCCCGAGACATACGATTCCAAAGTTGCAAAAATACCTATTTTTACTTTGTTATTTCTAAACTGATGATCGAAATAAAAACTTCAAAATGTCACAAGTAGGTTTTTGTATCATTTTTTTTGATTACAACATTAAAACATTTTCGGGAGGTGGGCTTATACTTCCCGAAATATAGGTGACAAAATTTGTAACAGCTCTCTTTTTTTAAATATCTCATAACTTATTTTTAGATTTAATCTTTTCTTAGATAGTCGGCCGCGGCTTGATATTTTCTCCTCTGAGGAATGTCTAACACCGGCTTCGCGAACCAATGGTTTTTAAAGTAGCCGACCTTCGACCGGGGTTTGAGATTTTTTCCTCTGGGATATGTACAACACCGGATTCGCGAGCCCAAATTTATTTTCATTGGCAGGTCTGCGGTCGGGGCTTGTAATTTTCTCCTCTGAGATATGTCCAACACCGGCTTCGCGAACTGAAGATTACTTAGATTTAATATTTTTAAAATAACCAAAAAATATTAGAAATGTGCTTTTTAAAATCTGGACCTTATCTAGGGAAGTATGGACCCACCTCCCGAAGATGTTTTGTTATTGTAATCAGGATACAAAAATCTACCTGTCGTGACAGTTTGCATTTTTTTTCGATTATAGGTATCGAAATAGCTAAGAAAAAGGGATACTTTGCAACTTTGGAACCATATATCTCGGGTAGTATTGACGTCCCCCTTAAATATTTATGGGAGCAAGTTGAGTTTAGGGGCTATGCTCGGATCATTTTGAAATTTTTACCGCAGGTAGGTATTTGTAACCTGATTACGGCAATGTAATTTTTTTGTGGGGGAAATACCCGGTTATTCGACCCAAAAGTTCGAATACAACATCCGGTTTGTATCCGGTTCTACGTAACCGATACCAATAAAATGGGTATCATTTGAAAGCTTATGAAAATACCTATCCAACAAGTGGATAGTGGAACCGGTTTCGGAGAAATTTAGGAAAATTTGCATTTTTGTATGAGTACTTTTTGAAAAACCTATAAAAACTCGAAAATGGACCCGTTATAGGGTCTTAAAATCTATACACTATATTATAGCTAACACTATTGCCTTTCCAAAATGGTGTCATATGTGTTGATATCTTTTGTGGTTCCGTGGATATAAGAGATAGAATTCATTAAATTATATTTTTCTCCAGTCTAGATGCATTTGACTTTGACCTTTATAGCTTTTTTAAGCAACCGGTCTTCGGCCGGGGCTTAAGATTTTCTCCTCTGGGGTATGTCCAACACCGGCTACGCGATCCATAGTTTTTCTAAAAATTGTAATTTTTGTAAGCAGCCGGCCTTCGGCCGGGGCTTAAGATTTTCTCCTCTGGGATATGTCCAACACCGACTACGCGATCCATAATATTCTAACAACACCAAATTAAAAACAAAGCAGATTAACAAGAACGTTAAACCCGACACAAAACTTGGGTTCACTCAAACTGCTTTCATAAGTAACGACTTTAAAAGTCAATATCTTCGGAACTACAAAAGATATCAACACATATGACACCATTTTGGAAAGGCAATAGTGTTAGCTATAATATTGTGTATAGATTTTAAGACCCTATAATGGGTCCATTTTCGAGTTTTTATGGGTTTTTCAAAAATTACTCATACAAAAATGCATATTTTCCTAAATTTCATAAGCTTTCAAATGATACCCATATTATTGATATCGGTTACGTAGAACCGGATATAAACCGGATGTTGTATCCGAACTTTTGGGTCGAATAACCGGGTAACCGGGTATTTCCCCCACAAAAAAATTATATTGCCGTAATCAGGTTACAAATACCTACCTGCGGTAAAAATTTCAGGTCAATCCAAGCATAGCCCCTAAACTCAACTTATGCCGTTTATTTTTTAGTAACTTTTTTCTTTTGAAGGTTTCCAATGAGCCATTAGATAGCTTGAGAGAATTTGGAAATCTAACAACAAAACATTTCTGCATAAATTGAGTTATTTTTGGCAATCCAATTTTTACATTTGTAACACTTTACTGGAAGCAAAGACTAATAAAAATGTAGCATAGATTAATGAAAATATAGATAACGAAAGCTTTCAACGTCTTTTGCTAACAGAAGTCGCAACAACACTTTTTTCGCGGTCTGGTGTGTGTTTTGTATGGTCGCGTTTCTCGACTTCGGAAGCAATTTTATTGAATTTTAAATAATTATAATTATTTAATAATACATTTTATATAATTTGGTGTACATTTTATATAAATTGGTGATTAAATTCCGTAGCTATTAGTTTAACTAATATTCTCGAATGACCATGATGGGTATACTTGTTTTTTATGAAGACTTAAAGTATTACTCGTTCTTCGAATGTCAAACAAAATCACTTCAGTCTTCGAATATCGAGAGAAACTATCACTTGAAAATTGTTCACCTCGTTCTTCGAAACAATTGAGAAAACAATTCAATTTCAATTCATATTTACATATTAGGTGTGATGATAACTGGAGAAATTACTGCAGTTTCATGGTATAATTATTGCATGTAGAAGCAAACCCCAGCTGATTTGACTCTGTAGTAATACTACAAATTCGATATGACGTTTTCTGGTTTTATTCTATTTCATGATATACAATAGATATACACTTCTTTGATATAAAATTTCACTGCAGGGCAATGTGAATATTTTTTTTGCAAAATAAAAAGAAAAATCACCGTTATATTTAACAAGATGCCAACGGCGATGGCGTGGAAACTGTTTTCGCGGTTAAGAAGCAGCGGCACCACGTTATATAATATAGTCGTATATTTCATGTTTCCTAAAATTGGCAAATGTAGATTACTTTGTGTATATATGCGATTTGTTTTCAATTTGAAGGGAATGTTGCTTTTCACGATTTTCTAGCGGTTGCTTGAAGTTTGGAGAGGTTTATACCTACAACTAACAGCTAAACATTCAGGGAAAAAATGTACATTATTGTAATTAAAAGAATTGGTTGAAAAGCAATTGTTTTGTTTACATTTTTGGACATATAACTCTGGCACTACATGCATGTGGTTGTTGTTACGTTTTTTTACAACAACACTTTCTATTACCTGTATTATTCTACTATGCTGCAGTTTGTATATAATGCGAAAAATGATGTTAGAGATTGGCTCATAAAAGTCTGTATCACATCACCCAAGCACATTAATGGTATATTAAAGAAGAATAGAGTTGCGTATGACACAAATGATTTTGTTGAAAGTAGTAATATCGAGCATCTAAATTTACGGGTCGAAGTTTCAGTAATAATATTAAAGTATTCCTGAGTGAATTATGATGAGATTTTATCAACAGTGCATTCTGGCTCAGATTCGATTTTTCCTGCTCGAAATTCTATAACTTTATAGGAATGCAGACATTTTCATAATAATTATTTTTGTTCGACAGTTAACGCAATCGATTCGATTCAGCATTTGCCGAGAAAATCAAGGTCAAATTCAACATTTGACTTGTATTAATATTTTACATCATTTAATGAGTGTTTATATTCTTCTACTTATTAGAAGAAGTCAAACTCCAATATGTTAACTACAATATAAATGAAATAAAAAATATATTTTTTTAAATAAAAAAGTATTTTTTGAATAAAAAAGTTTTTTTTTCCAAATATTGTATTTTTTAATTAAAAAAATACTTCTTTGTTCTTGATGTTCCTATCACTATTATATAAAACCCCAGAACTGAAAAAATGTTCGTAAAACCATAATTATTTATTGGAATAGTGTTGGCTTGTTTGTTCGGTATACCATAGTATTTTGTTGTAGCAAAATAGTTAGGCTTAATCCCATTATTGTTGTTTTTATAAAAACAACTTTTGTTTATATTGAGGGATATTCTCCTCAGGAGTTATTTTATAATGACGATATTACAAATACTTTTTTTACCCCAGTGACGAGATCTGCATTTCTTCTACAGCATTTATAAACATTTACATCTCTCCCCACTTGTTGTGGTTTCGTATACCTGAACGAAATATCATGTAAGTTGGTTTTATCTCTTACAACAAAAACCCCTTAATCGAACGTGCCTTGTCTATTAATAGAACAGTATTGGCATGTTTATTCGTGACATAATTATTTATTTTTACCCCCTCTACAAGTAGTTAGTTATCATTCCACTTGTAACTCTTAGAAATAATCATTTTGGACCCAACAAAGTATCAATGTAAAATTCATTTTGCCATTTCCGTTCGTATGCCTGTCTGTTGTAATCACGCGAAAGTCCTAACGGCATGTGATAGGAAGTTAAAATTTGGTTTTCTTCTTTCTTATAGGGCCCATGTAAATATATCTATTGATATTCCATATTTTAACGATTTTAGCCATATTTTCTAATATTAATTAATATAGAACAGTGTGGCTTGTTTGTTCGGGATACCGTAGTATTTTGTTGTTGCAAAATGGTCTGGCTTTATCCCTTTATTGTTGTTTTTATAAAAACAACGTTTGTTTATTAGTGGAGAACGGTGGTAATGTTTACCAGGG